AACTGGCCGCCCCGCCGCCCTCCACCCAGCCCTGGCTTCCTCCCTCCCTGCCCCGTCCGAAAGTCGTCGGGCTGGGCCGTCCCTCCCTGGGCGCGTTCCTGGGCTCCGTTCACAATCAGGATTTAACAGGCAGCTTGACTGAGCCCTTGGCGTTTGGGTCAAACACTTGACAGAATTCTCGGTGACCTGTGCTGGCCTAGCGCTGCGCTGGGGAGGGCGGCGGGGACGCGCTCTCTGAGGCAGTGAGTGATACCAGAGATGAAATATGAAAATATTATATCTCCCAACCTGTTAGATGTCTGTTATGCTGGGCTCATGTTCTCTGAAAATCAAAGAATGAATTCTAGGAACAATGGAGGCAGAATAGGAAAATATTTATTGAGAGGATAGCTCCTGAGAGGCAGGAAGGGACCTGAACGGGTACCCAGAGACGCCATTTTCAGGAAAGTTCTATAGAGCAACACCCACTTGGGTACAACGTGGGTTATAGCTATGATCAACCAATAGGGTTACAAGTACAGTTGCTTAAGTAATGGTGATCCGATTGGGAAACAAGTCACTGTAACAATTGCCTATGGAAAGAACAAAGATTTCTTCTAGGAAATAATGGGTCCACAGGTTTCTGGTCATCCACGGGGTGGCTGATGTCTGTCAAGGCTTCTTTAGGTCCAGTGTTTATCCTTTTAGGAAGCTTGCAGGCCTTGTCATCTTGTCTTTATCTTGAGGACTGGTCTCCAACAGATGTGTCTCTGGCCACGGTTGTGATGTGTTTTACTTTTGGTCTCACTCTCACAAGGGCCTAACCCCATCTGACTGCTTGTCATATTTCTATCTAACTTAGCTGTCTACAAGAGCAGGACAGTGGCTCTCCAGGACATCTCCACCGTCATCAGGACAGTGACCGCCAAAGGACCCCACAGAGCAGAGCTTTGGCGGTCACACTTCACCTCAAGAGACTGCCACTAAAATGGCATCTGAGGGGGAAAATTAGAATACTTATGCAAAATGCTCATACTTTCAAATTAAGGAAGACTTCTATCGTAAACACTCGTCCTTCAGGCCACGAGGCTGGCCAGCTAGATGTGGCCTGGCCTGCTGTCAAGACCCAACTCTGTCAGCAGCCTGCTGTGTGACTGGGTAGGTGACTCCCTCTGTGTGTGGTCGCTGCTCCCTGTCCAGACAGGAAGTGCTCACCAGAGTGGCTGCTGTGTGTGAACTGAGGGCCTACCCTGATTTTTCAACAGATGTAGCCCACAGAGGTGGAGAGTCAGGAGTGAACAGGACTGGAGGTTAGAAGGTATTCCTTCAGTCTGACAGGGCTTTGTGTCTTGGACATTTTCTCCTGGCTTGGGATGAAAGGGCAGGAACACAGGGCGGCGCGGTGTCCCACTGGAAGCAGCAGAGCGGGGCCTCGGGTGGAAGGGCCCGTCTGGCCCATGCCCTCCTCTGCCCTCCTGTCTTCCAGCCTGGAAAGGCTGCAGGATTCTCAGGGCCTGGAGGGCTGCGGGGAGGCGCCATCCATGGGACTCTGGGGTCCTGTGTGTAGTGGACTGTGGCTTGGAGTCACCGCAGGGCCCCTCTGGAGTTTCTGTTTTTTCTCCTGAGTTCAGGGACCCGATACAACAGCTATCTGAATGAACATTCAAGTTCCACTTCGAAAACCTACCCAATCGTAATGGTTGGAATAAGACCTTCCTGTGCTATACAATAGAAAGCAAGCAGAAAAATAGACTTCTTCGCAAGGGTGTCTTTCAAAATCAGGTAACCTCCAGCCTCCCCTCTAGCACAGGTGAGAGCTAGGCCGGGCGAGAATGCAGAACAAAGGATCAGTAAAAGCCACACGGTGCAGTCCTGGGCCCTGCTGGTCCAGCCTGGCTGCCCTGCACCCTGTCGATGACACCCTGTGACTTCTCCCAGCGGGCCTCGTTCACAGGTGTTATTGCACTCTAGCAGCGCTTGTGCCTGGCCTGTGTCACTTGGCCACACACCTAGCGGTCCCCGAGGTCAGGGCATCTCCATGGTCAGGCACCGCGAGCCCGCAGGGCCTTATCTGTCCTGCGCCCACTGGGCTGGTTGGTTCTGGCCTCCAGTGAGTGGCGTCCGTCCCCGCTCTCGTGTTGCTCCCGGTGTCCTCTGGCCTCCGAATCTCGGGCTGGATGGGCCTTTCTATGCCCACCTCTCCCTCCGGCCTGCTGTGCAGCTGCCCCAGCACTCACCACCTGCCTTCACTCCCTGCTTGCTCCGAACCATCCTCTGGCTTCATAGAATTTGCATCTCCCAGATGAGAATCTCACACTTCTCCAGCTGCACAGCAAGCTCACTGTCCTATGGCCAAAAGAAAATGCTCTATGCATGTTCCTGACGACTCACTCAGCCCCAGACTCCACCACACCTGAATCTTGTTCTCAAACCAAAGATAAACGTGCATCCCTCAGCATGAAGACTGGAAGCTTTGAGAAATGTCCCTCAGGCCAGACCGCAGTTCTCCTGTATCCTCCTGCTGGGCAATTAGAGCCTTTGCCTGGAGATCCTTCCCGTTGCTTTAGTTTTAGTTTTCGTGGTCCCTAAAGCAAGGACCAGGCTGGCTAGTGACACTTTGAGAAATGCCCCTTGGTTGTGCTAAGGCTTCCGTCCCTGGCTTTAATGGCCGCCTCTCTCTGTGTCCTCGAGTGGTCTTTCCCCAGCACACGTGTGACCCCGGCATCTCTGTGTCCCGCTCCCCTCCTCTCACAAGGCCGCCAGGCAGATTGCATCGTGCCCCAACCTAGGGCCTCTTGTTACCACATGGCCCGGTCAGAGGGCCTGACTCCAAATCCAGTGTACGTCCCAGCTCGGGGTTAGGACCTCGGCATCTGGACTCGGGCCCATGGCAGCCAGAGCGGACCTTGTGCTCCTGGGTGTGGGTGGGGACTGGTAGGGTCGCTGTTCCTCCTGTGAGTCGGTCTCTCGGGGTTCCTGACCTGACACCCGCTTCCACCCAGGTCTTGCTGCACTCTGGAGCCCTCCCCGTTGTTCACCATCCCCACCACCACCTCTGACCTGTTCCCCAACCCTAGCCAGAGAGGACGCTCTGGATTTGGACAGTTAGGGACAGGTGAAGGGGACTGAGCTAAAGAGACAAGACGGAATATCATCTAAATAGGAGCCACGGTGACTGGGTAAGAAGAGGCAGGAGAGCTCAGAGCTTTTGTTCGGGGCCCAATAAAGAGCACAGAGCTGAGCAGGAGCTCACCGGGCAGGGAAAGGGCAGCTTGGGGACTCCAGGTGACGCGGGAAGTGAGCACTGGGGACCTGGCGCACAGAAGCAAAGCAGAGCCCCGCCATCCCACTGTAATTGGATAAAGTCTGAGGAAGTCCCCCAAAAGGAGATGGAGACCCCGGCTCACCCCACCCATGGGGTAGGTTCACTGGCTTCCATCACAGGAGAAGAATTTTCAGGACACAACTGTGAAAGGCATAAAGAGAGTTAGTAGGCCGGATTTTCACCATACACACTCAGAATAGAGTGCTAGCCCTTGACAGAGAGATACATTATGTTCCAGAGTTGGGGTTATTGTGTGGTCTTGGGGGCATCCTTGGAATGGCTGACACCCATGGGGTAGGTTCACTGGCTTCCATCACAGGAGAAGAATTTTCAGGACACAACTGTGAAAGGCATAAAGAGAGTTAGTAGGCCGGATTTTCACCATACACACTCAGAATAGAGTGCTAGCCCTTGACAGAGAGATACATTATGTTCCAGAGTTGGGGTTATTGTGTGGTCTTGGGGGCATCCTTGGAATGGCTGAGCTAGGTGTATTCCTACTGCCTGTCAGATTACTCATGTGAGTAGGTTAGAATGTAAACCATTTACACATATTCGAAGTCGAGCTCTGCTGCCTGGTAAAACCACTGCTTCCTTGAGGGTGGAGGTTTGTTGGGGGGCTATTTACAGGTGAAAAGCATGGGTCATAATTTATAGGCTTATTGTAGCTTTCAGATACTTGGAAATTTTGTTGTTGTTGTTGTTTTTTTTCCTGAGTGAATTTCTGTGAAAAGAAACAAGCTTAAATAACTTTTTGTGTTCCTAAGCTTCATTGTTTCTTGAAAGTACAATTTAACAACTGTAATTTTCTTGGCTTCTTTCTACCTATCTTTTGGGGGGACACAGGGGATCCAATGCCCTTGTGCTTGCAGGGCAGGTGGCAGAACCACTGAGCTAAATCCCCGAACCGCTATCTATCTTTAATTCTTCGTTCTACCTTATTCTTCTCTGCCCAAGACTCACAAGACTTTTGATTTTTTATTAGTACTTTTTGTTTGTTTGTTTTTTGTTTTTTGTGGTACCAGGGGTCAAACTCAGGCTCTTGTGCTTGTGAGGCAGGCGGTGGACCCACTGAGCCAGATCCCTGGTCTGGTTTTTCCTTCTTAAAGGATGCTACCCAAAGGACCATCTTTTCGTGGTTGCTTTAGGCTGAGAGAGGGCATTGAATGCCTTCATAAAGATGAAAATTATCCTTCTGACTGATCTAAAGGAGACATAGAAAGATTGGGTGTTGTTTTTTTTAAAGAACCATCCTTTCTGGATGGTCAGGTTTGTTTTGGAAAATCAGGACATCAGCAAGTCCATGAAGCTTACTGTAGAGTCTGACAGTGCACGGACTTGTGAACGTAAGTCTGGTGATACTTAAGTTATAATCGAGAGTTGTTAGGAACATACATTTACTATTTTGGTAATACATAGTACAGGTGAGCATTAGCTTTC